GTCTGAGGGGCATAGAATTTAACCCCCCAGATCCGGGCCCTGCCCACTCTCATGGCCTTTCGCAAAGCCATTAAAACCTGGCTTTTTCCGGCAGGCCTGGGGCTGTTGACCCCTCGGTTGAGGTCCTGCCCCCTTTCGATTGGGTGTTTGTTGTGTTCCTTTTTAACTTTGTTGTGTCCCATTGTTTTTAAACATTCTTTTTAACTTTTTTTTTCCATTTCTGTAAGCCGCCCGGAGTCCCTCGGGATTGGGCGGCATAGAAATTCAAGAAATGAATTGAAATGAAAAAGAGCAACGCTAGTGTGCCGGAAACAGAGAGAACTTCTGGCCCTCTCGGGGTCAGCTGATCCGCGGGCCGAGGCTAAGGGGCCTCCTGCACCTCAAAAATAGTAAGGCCTCCCCGAAAATAAGGCCAAGCGCTTATTTCAGGGGGATCAAAAGAAAATAAGACCCTGTCTTATTTGGGGGGAGACGCGGCAGTTCAATACAGAAGGAAAGAGGAGAGTTTAAGCTGTGATGTTTTTTGGGGTACACAAAAGCAACAGAAATTTTTTAAAAAACCAACCCCTTTAAATATCCCTCCTAATGCAGCCCCCCTCCCCCCAAAAACCCCCCACCCAAGTGGACCATCTGGTAGATGGCTTTGCTTTTCTGCTAAATATTTTGGCAATTCCATTCTCCTGGATTCCAGTAGTAAATGGTTAGGAGGCCATGGAGGAGTTTTCACCCGAACGCTGGGTTTTCCTTCTGCAGTGAGTAGGTGGGTGTAGTAGACCCTCCCAAGGAAGAGGGCACAAATTTGGAATGGTAGATATAAACCACGGTTAAAGCAATGGGGAGAGAGATGGATGTTTGCTGGTTAAGAAGGAATGAAGTGAGTGGGGGGGTTTCTCGGACGACCCCCCCCCCCCGGCTGCACCCAAGTTGTTTGACCCTTAATGAGACAGCAAGGAGGGCTTCGGAAAGAAGCAGGGATCGAAATTGGTGCTCTCTGAGCTTGGTGGTTTTCTTCCAGACGTTTAATGACCCGACCGAGTAGCATCATCAGTGCTAGAAGGGAGTGGCGGTTGTGGAGAAGGAAAAGGGGAAGGAGGAGGAAGGGCTGGGGAGGGGGACATTGGTGGTCTCTGAGCTAAGTTGTTTTCTCGCAGGCGTTTCGTGACCCAAATAGGTAACTTCATCTGTGTTAGAGAGGAGTGGGGTTTTGTTGTGGCCCTCCGGCAGAGCTGGCAGCGGATTCGGACAGCGAGGAAGTTGGGGAGGGAGATGGGCCAGTCCTGGAGTCTGGGGAAGGCTCTGAGGAGGGCTCTGTGNTTCATCCAAAGGGGTTCCTCGCCTCTTGGGGTGAAACTGAGGCAGGGTGGGTGGTGGAGTGTTTTTCTCCAAGGATTCCCCCCCCACACCCCACTCGTAGGGGGCTCTTCTCAAACCCTTTTAATTCTCAAGTTTTTTAAAACTACCCGATAACCATGATTATATTCCAGTGCATACGGAGAAGCTCAGTGTTTCGGCTTTTTTGGGGGGGGTGGGGAGGGGAAAGGGTGAGGATGAGGAGGATAATAATAATAATAATAACAATATAATAATAATAATAATAAAACAACACAATCAGTAAGCTTGGGACGCAGACATCAAGCTGACTTGGTGGCAAGTTCCTTCATAAGGTAAACGAGTAACAGTGATTATAGCCATGACACAGAGAGGGAGTGTTTTCCTTTGTTTGGGGGGGGGGGTGTTTTTCGTTTTGTTAATGGCTGGGTCTTCGTGATGCCTGGTGGGGGTTATTCGGGCTTTTTCTTCACGGTGCCAGGAAGCTTTGCTTGGATCCTGGGGAAAGAGAGAGAGAAAGAGAGAGAAAGGCGCTGAGAAAGGAGCATGGGGCTGCGGGAAGCTCCCTTGCAGCAGCCGATTCTCAAATTATTTTTTAAGAATGGAGATTGAAGGCGAAGGGAGCCCATGGAAGGGAGAGAAAAAAAAGACATGAAGGTAAAGCAGAAGGGGAGGAAGGCTAATGGCCTTTTCAGTGTATTTTTTTAGTATCTGTAATTCCTGAATTATTTTTTTAGAGGGTCCATATTTAAGGTGGTTTTTGATGAAAATCAAAAGTGAAATTTATTTCCTTCTTCCTTTCCTCTCTCCCGCTCTATACTTTTCTTCTTTCCCTCCCAACTGTCTTATCCCTTCTTTTCCCTTTTCCTTCCTTCTATATCTTCCTTCCTTCCTTTCAGCTATCTTCCTCCTCTTTATCATCTTCCTTTTCCTTCCATGATCTTCCTTCCTTCATCATCTAATTTCCATCCTTCCATCTTTCTTCCTTCTATCATCTTCCTTCTTTCCATGATCTTCCTTCCATCTATCCCTTCCTTCCTTTCATCTTCCTTCCTTCCTTCTCTTTATCATCTTCCTTTCCTTCCTTCATCTATTTTTTCCTTCCTTTCCTTCCATCTATCTTCCTTCNCAAGAGGCACCCATGTTTTCCACCCTCCTATAAAGCACATCGGATGCGAAGGGCATTGTGGGTAACTCTTGTTTTTTTTGCCATCTACGTACAATTTTTTTTGTAAAAAAAAAAAATAAAAGTCTGCCTGGGGGGGTGGGGTGGGGGTCGCAAAAGGAGTCAATTCATAGTAGGCAAAACACAGCAGCGACAGAACAGATGTTGGAAGCATCTGGTGCAGAAAAGGGCTTTTAAAAAGGGTATTTGGGGTTGAAAGGCAGAGGGGGGGAAAGGAGGGATTTGAAGAGGGAGGAGAAGCCAGAGTCTTAGGGGGGGGGGGTCTCCTTGGGAAATGCATGCAGCTCTTTTAAAGAGGGGGGGTTCCTTAGCACCTGAGTGCCCCCCCCCAAAAAAATTACCAACCTGGCACTCCAACCTTGTGGGGCTTTTATCCTTTGTGGAAAAATGATGGCACAGCTGCCCTGCAGTGGCAGGTGGGATGGTTCCCCCCCATCAGCCCTGAGCCAAGATTTGGGGCTGATGTGCTTGAGGGTCTCCCTTCCCTGTAGACCCCCCTCCTCAATTTTAAACAGGAGCAGTTTGCAAAGGGAAGAGTGTTGGGGGGCTGTAGGACGGGGAAGAAATTGGGTGGAGTGGGGAAAATGCAATCTTTCCTATTCAAGTTTCCTATTCTGGGGTCCTCCTAACACCCCCCCCCCCCACCAAATAACAATCACTCAATTGCTCAGCCTAAATAAAGAGGCAGTGTCTTTATTTCTCCCACTTCAAGCCCTCGCAAGGAAGAGAAAACAGCCACTAGAAATCCTCCCTGGGAATAAAACTTTTGCTCCTCCCTCCGCTCCCAAAAGGCCGCACCTCCACGAGGACTAGCCTCTTGGCTCTCTCTCTCCCAGCTCTGCTCTTCTCTCTTTCCTAACCCTGAATTCCCCTCCTTTCCGAAGCAAGAATAGGGGAGAGGGAGGGGGGAGAAAACGAGGGAAGGGCTCAGAAGGAAGGATCCCTTGCCATCTTTTGGGATGAGAAAGGGGGAAGGAGAAGGGTAGGATTATTTTTTTTTTTTTAAGGACAGCCATTTGTTACAGCAGTTGCTGACTTTTTTTTCTTCAGTTCGGGAATCACACAGCAAAAGAATTAAAATACAGAATTCGGGCGGAGGAGGGATGCACCAGTCAGCTGGTCTCTGGGGTTCTGGCCCTCTGGCGCACACATGCACCCCCGTTTGGGGCATTTAGTGTCGAAAAGGTTTGCCATCACTACGAGAAAGGAGAGGGAGCAGAATATTTTTATTTCCAGGGAGAAGAGAAGGGATGGAGGGGAGATAAAGGCTGTCNTGGCCAAAGCCTTTGAGTTTCCTCTTCAGGATCCGGCCTTCTAAAGAGCAGCCAGGGTGGATCTCCTCTAGGACTAACCAGTTGGATGGCCTTGCAGTCCAAGGGACTCAATGCAGGAGTCTTCTCCAGCCCCAGAGTTCAAAGGCCTCGAGTGGTCGTAGTCCTCATCTTAAACCAATGGGCAACTTTTTAAAGACTTGTGGACTTCCAACGCCCAGAATCCCCCACAGCCATCGAGGCTGGGGAATTCTGGGAGTTGAAGTCCACAAGTCTTAAAATGGTTGCCAACCTTGGGAGAGATCCATCTTAAGACAAATGCAATGCTAGGGAAGAAGTCAACCAGGTTAGCTCTCACTCGGCACCAATGACAGAACTAGTTAGGTTTTTTTTGGGGGGGGGGCAATCTCCCAAATTAAGTAGGAAGTCAGTATGGCTCATTCAACTGTTGGCTGATACCCCCCCCCCTGCTTCCATCTGTGTCTGATTATCGGAGAATGCCTAAAGAAATCCCTGCATTTTCCTTTCTGCCCAAGATGGTACTAGAACTCCCCCATCTCCTAGCTTCTAGGATGCCTTCACCACCCCACCGTGCTTTCCAAGAGGGGCGGTTCAGAAATAAAGAAATTTAAATAAACGGGCTTATTCTTTAGCTTGACACTGCTAGGCAGTTAAAAACAAAGGCAATCAAACCTCAAAGGCACAACAGATTTGAGGCAAGGGGTGGAAGGACCCCCCCCCCCATCCCAAAGAGGGATTAATTAATTGCTTTAACTTTTTTAATTGCAAGAATAAGAGTTTTGATGCGTTGCAAAATCAGCAGAGTGGAAGTGTTGCCTTGAAGAAGATAACCACCATCTGGGTTTTGTGTTGCTGTAAGACCACACCTAGAATATTGCATCCAGTTTTGGTCACCACACTATAAAAAGGGAGGTTGGGACTCTAGAAAGAGGGCAGAGAAGAGCAACCAGGATGATGAGGGGACTGGAGGCTAAAACATACGATGAACGGTTGCAGGAACTGGGCCTGTCTAGTCTGGTGAAGAGAAGGACCAGGGGAGACAGGATAGCAGTCTTCCAATATTTGAGGGGCTGCCACAAAGAGGAGGGGATCAAGCTATTTTCCAAGGCATCTTTGAAGGCCAGAGAAGGAAGAATGGATGGAAGGAGAGATTCAACCTGGAAA